TCCTTGTTCTGTTCAAATGCCTACCTCTTGGTCTATGTACAGGTTCCTCATGAGCACAATTGAGTGTTTTAGAATTCCCATTCTTCACAATGTTTTCCATAATTTGTTGTGATCCACACAGTCTAATGCCTTTGCATAGTCAATAAAAGAATAAATACCATCAATCATTTTCCTTCAAGTGATAGGCTCACTTCATTCATTTTCAAGAGAAAATCTGCCAAATATTCAAGTCAGCATAGCCATTGTTTATCCGTCATTCAATCTGAGTAGTAAACATGATCTTCCATGACCAGCGCAAACCTGCTGCCATATACTCGATTCTGACTCATGATGACCCCATGTGTTATAGACTAGAACTGCTCGATAGGTTTTTTTTTTTTTTTTTTAAAGAAATTGTCCATAGCGTTTTCTTAGCTGTAATCTTTGTGGAAGCAGGTCACCAGGCCTTTCTTCAGTGACCCCACTGGATAGGTTTGAACCACCAAACCTTTCGTTAATAGTCAAGCACTTTACCATTTGTGCCACCCAGGGGAAGTGGCTGATACAGCTCGGGACTGAAACAATCACACAAGTGCTGTTTTTGAGTCAACTAGCTTACTTTGGTGTGCAACAGAAACACAGACTGGTAAAAGATGTGCACCCAAGGGTTAAGTTATGATAGAATTGTTCATGTTTTCTGCCTTCTTGTATAAGTCTTTTATTGCTGTGTAACACATTACCATAAACTTAGTAGGTTAAGAAAAAACCCATTTATTATTTCACAACTTGCGTTAGTCAGGAGATCAGGAACAGCTAAGCTGGGTGCTCTGCTCAGTGTCTCATTGGCTGCCATCAAGGTGTTGGCCAGGGCTGGGGTCTCATCTGACCTTCGGGGTTCTCTTCCAAGCTCATGTGGCTGTTAGAAGGGTACATACCCTTTCAATTGTAGAACTCTTAGTTGCTTCCTTCTTCAAGACCAGCAGGAGGGAAGGAGGGGTGAGGGAGACTGAGGAGGAAGAAGGGAGAGGGACTCTGCTTTTAATGAACTCAAATTCAAACTGATTTGGCACCTTAATTACATCTGCAAAGTCCCTTCACCTTTGGCGTGTAATGTAACCTACTCACCGAACGACATCTATCCCCTTCACGGGTCCCAACCACATTCCAGGTGATGGGATCATACAGGCCATGAACACCAGTGGGCAGAAATGTTGGGAACCCTCAGAATTCTGCCTAGCACGTTCATCAAGGACCTTCTTAAGTGAAACTTACAGGCATTTCCTGTGGGCGTTGAGCAGCATTAACAGAAGTGTCTTGTTGCTGTAAACTGCTTGGTTTTTTCAGTTTGGTAATTGACATGTGTATTTTATTTTCTCCAG